GAGTAGAAATAAACAACTTCGTACTAAGTTTTAACGAGTACTCTTGTTAGCCTACGGTTTTATAGAAGAAATAAATAAAAAAAAAAACTATGCAGTTATCACTTTAGTTCTGAAACTGGCACGAGAACCGTTTGTTAACACAAACACAAAACAAACTCCGGAATCGCAACGCTTCGAAAGTGTCGTCCGTACTAGTATCTTTATAAAAAAACTAGCGGCCCGTTCCGGCTTCGTACGGGTAGACATTTTTTTTTATATCACTGAGGTGGCAAACAAGCATATGGCCCACCTGATGATAAACGGTTACCGTACCCTATGAACGCCTGCAATATCAGAGATATTACACGCGCGTTGCCGACCCTGAAGAAACCTCTTTACCCCCCTTTTGAAGAACCCCATGCTGTAGCTGCAGACATTTTTACATCATTTTAAAAAGTGGTTATTGTGACATAACGATAATAGTTGGACATATAGTATTGCGAGGTTTTTTATAGTTATTGATATTTTCTTCAATATTGTAGAATATACTTTTGTTCTATCTCCAATAGTTTCCGCAGCGCACGCGACCAAAGATATTTTATAGCATTTTTTACACCTTGAGTTACGTTACTAAAGTTTTAGTAAGGATCCCTAATCTTTTCTAGAAATAAATATAGCACATGTTACTCAGGGTGAATGTATAATTCAGGGTGTATGTGTAATTTTTGAAATTGGCGAAGTAGTTTTTGAGTTTATTCTTTACAAACATACACACAAAAATACAAATCTTTCCTCTTTATAATATTAGTGTAAATAAACATTATTTATTTATTTATTCTTTATTGCACAATAAAACTTTGTACAAGTAGCGAGCTTAATGCCATATGGCATTCTCTACCAGCTTACCAATAGGTAAAAACAGAGAGCGTATGAAGGGCAGATGTGGTGAAAAATATGTATTATAAAACTCTATAGTCTTGCACTAATTTTTATCCGTGACTTCGTCTACGTAATTTAGAATTTTAGATCACACATATAGAGCATAAATGTGACCATACTTTATGTCTATACCGAGATATAATTGAAAATAATAGAACCAGCAACAATTTTATAAACATTCGAGAAAAATGTCCAGTTTCAAGTCCATAATACCGTATCATATCAGCCGTTAATTGGACATAGGCCTCTCTCTACTAGAAGATTTTGCTAGTAGTTGCCAGACTTGGCAGGCGAGTTGGCAACCGCAGTTAGGCTTTGGTATAATTTCAAGAGGGACGTTGATCTCTCGATCATTAAGTTCCCTTAGTGCCTCTTACGACACCCGCGGGAAAGAAGGAGGTAGCCTATTCTATATCGGGACCACACGGCAATGTATTTATAATACAATCCCTTAAAGGAATGAATTTAAATTTACTATCTATAGGAAAAAAGAAAGATAGACAGAAGTATTTTTGTTTAAGTAAATTCAACTGGAGATGTCGGTAGGGCCGACCTAGATGAACGTATGTCGACCAAATAGGCGACGTGCTGAAGAAGGGCCAAATTAAAAGTACCCGTAACCGGCGAGCGTGTATGAAAAGATTGATGAATCTGGAAGAATGAATGAATGAATAAGTATACTTTATTTGCATTATACAATATAGAAAATAATCAAGGCAATTTACAAACACAACGATACAATTGTATAAGTACAGTAAGGTGGTCTTATTGCTGATCAATCAGAGAGCAATCTTTTCAAGACAACCTTAGGGTAACGGACTAATTGTTGTACAAGTAGGTATGATAGTACTGTATAATTAAAAAAGCATTTTTTACAAATTAAAAATATATAAAATATATAACATATCAATCAAACAAAATTATATGTTAAATATGCACCTAATACTAGGATATATATTATTAATTATAGGCACAAAAAGCGAAAGAGGTTTGTTTAAATCGAAGCATTTGGCGTTCTATTGTTTCTGCCTACCCTAATGGGAGACAGGCGTGACAGATATGTATGTATGTAAAGTCAGATTTGAGCATTTTTGAATCGTAATTTTTTATTCATTACCGCCCATTTGGAACACAATTTCAGCAAAGTAGAACGGGCAAGAAATTCAGCTGTTACTTTTTATAAAGTTTAATATACTCCTAAAACACATTACACTTCTTTCCTTAGTTGGCTAAACCCAGCAATCCATACCATCAAAGAATGGTTGTCACAAAGATCCTTTTCCAGGGTACATAGAACCAAGTTATTTATTTATTCATTGGACCGCCAGGGAAAAAAGGATCCGTTTAAACCTTCGGCAAACAAGCCCTCAAGATCGGTATGTGCAGCGACTGGAAAGAAAGGAGGGACTAATTACATAACGGGTTCGCGTCCCGGCTTGAGTGTGTTTGAATTTTTAAATTAACCCGAAAATGGAATGTATATCGATTTTTTTTATTTTATGTTTTTTAACGGATGATAATGGAATGGTAACTCCGCCCGTTCCGTCGGTCTATACTGGCCTCTATAATATAAATATCCAAATATCTAAAATGTAGTTACAAACATTTATATAATAATAGTGAGATTGCAGTAAAATTCTAACTCCGTTTCTGCGATCCATGTATAAAAGTTATAATTATAGTAGTTAATACAGGTTATTATAACTTTTGACTTCGATAGTCTAACCAGTGGCTCTATTGAAATGGAACAAATGAGGAATAATTGGCCAAAAACTCCCTATTGACGGTTCAGTCCAATTTGTTAGGACGTCTGTGTATGACGAGATTATCTGGTCGAATAGAAATTAATAATAATGTAAATAAATAAATAATTGAACCGAATATAAGACATTTTTTTTTTATGTAACTTAAAATGGCAAACAAACTGACGGCTCACCTGATGGAAAATGGTAACTGTTGCCTATGGACATAACAGAGTATACTGTTTCGCCCATGATACCTCCATGCGTTGCCATTCCTGAGGCCTCAGGTGTTATTCCTCTGTATACTATAAATTTACTGCCATATCCCACCCTTCAAACCGAAACACAGCCATGCAAACACAACTACTTAACGGTTGAAACACGAATGCGACTGAGAGAAATGCAAACGACTTTTGTACAAAGTTCTGAGTCCTCAAGAATGGCAACGCATGGGGGGTATCATGGGCGAAACAGTGTACTCTGTTATGTCCATTATACTGCTCATGTCTATAGGCCACGGTTACCACTTCCCATCAGGTGGGCCGTCAGCTTGTTTGCCATTCTGAGTTGTATAAAAAAAAATACTTATAAAAACCCGCAATCTAAATATTTAAGTTCTTCTCAGCGTACATAGAACAATATTTTGACACGAAAAATACATGCAGATATCTGTTTAAATCCATATTCGTGAATTACAATTTCGTTTCTATTCTTCAGACAGAATTGTAAGTCATCGATCGCAATTGCTGCCTCTAGAGCAGAGTTTCTCAAAGTGGGGTACCAAATAAACGTAGGGGTACGCGAATTTTACGTAATGACTTATGTAATAGATAGATACACTTTATTGTTTCCTCCAAAAGATTATAGTAGTAAACATATTATGAATATAAACAATAACGAGAAAAGATTAGACTGAGGAAACAATGGGCGGCCTTATGGCTTAAGCGATCTCTTCCAGACAACTTTTGGTTACATTTCAACCGTTAACTGCCTTTCTTGTTTTTTTCTTCACTGTCTTTACCATAAAGGGTGTTTTGTAATCAGTAGCCACGCTTGGCCGACGGGTTGGCAACTATAGTTAAGCTTTTTAAAACATTTTAAGAGGGACGCTGCTGCCCATACGTCGACCATAAAGTTCCTTTAGTTGCCTCCTAAGACACCCACAGGAAAGGAAGTGGTGGCCTATTCTATGCAACTTTTGGATGGTAAGGAGTAATTATAAACAGTTTGACCATAGGCACGAAATTCTGTTCGTTTTGTCGTGTGATAATAAGTTTCCATACCCGGTCCTATTAAAGGCGTAATACAGGAATCAACTAATTCCTGAACCTAATTAATAAAAAACGATTATTATTGTTATTAAGAATGCTGTACATATTTTCAAAGAAACACTACTAACACAATGATCCCGGGAGAGAAGGGATCAGGTGGTCTACCATGAAATGAAATTCAGAAATTTCGGTCTCAATTTCGTGTTTTTGTTCGTATCAAAATCCACCCAGTAAATGGAGCTTAACATTTCGTTCATCATAAATCCTATTCTAATAGTCCAAAGGAACGATATTTTAACATTTTTAATAATTTTGAACAGCATGTATTATGTAATTTTAACATCAAATTTCTGTTTCGTTCGTCCCCAAAATTTCGGAAAATACTTATGGTAGGCCCTCAGATCGTGGTCCATCCTGTCAGGTTGACCTCCGCGTGGTCCCACCCGAAAACCTTGAATGAATACACACCTGGTGTGAATACACCTGGATTTCAGCACGATGGCTATTATTAATATTATTGAAAGACAAGCTTTTTTAGGCAGAAAAACCTGTGCCAGTGCGACTTCTCCGTGATCTTTTGTGCTCGCAGTTTTTTTTAATTCGACAGACAGTGATAGGAATTTTCAGATGTTCTTTATCTCTTCAGGATATAAAGTATTTTTCACAAAGGAGATATATCGTTTATGTCCGAAAGGCCTATAATTACAAATTATATGTCGCAAAACGATATCATTTGCATTAAAAACCAAGCGCACCCATAACAGAGGGAGACTCTGTACAACAAGGAATATTTCAGGAATAACACCTGAGTCCTCAGGAATGGCAACGCATGGGGGTACCGCACGTATCATGGGCAAAACAGTGTACTCTGTTATGTCCATGGTATTGCTCATGTCTATAGGCGACGGTTACCACTTTCCATCAGGTGGGCCGTCAACTTGTTTACCATCTAAAGTTGCATAAAAAAAACACTAAATTGACTAAATAATAAAAATAACATTTATGTATTGCTCTTTTGTATTTTTTTTTTTAATAAATTATTGGTTCTATCGATAGTTTTTTTTTTCAGGAATTCGCCGTAGTACAGAAATCCTAATAGGGGTAAGTGAGTCATAAGTTTGAGAAACCCTGCTCTAGATAATAGAGACTAACGAATGGAGCACTAATAAAGTCGATTGAAGCTGCCGGCACTAGCCTTTAGTAGCAGCTAGGTACGTATCGTCGACTTATTAATCGATAGTGCGATAAAATCAGTAAGTAATAATCGATTACAAATTGATTATGAATATAGACGAGTATAAAGATAATTATAATCGTCCATTGTTGCAAACGTTCATATAGTTACAAGAAAACGAGACTTTTTTTTTTGATGGGTGAAAGTGGTATGGAAACCCCGCCTGCGCTGATAGGATACGCTGGCGGAGCACCAGTGAAGAGTGATAGATGAGAATGAAAAGAGGTCAGTTAGCCCATCATGATGAATTTATCAGGAATTAACCATGATAGTTTCCAGGGAGAACCGCGAGGAGGTCGACCTGGTTGCATATATTGCTAGCAATGGGATTCTCAGTCTCCATTACTAACAATCCCTTTCCCCCCAACGGGATCTGATATGCAATAATATAATCGATTAAACAAATCGACTATAATAAACTAAAGAGATATTGATTTAAACGATAGTGTCAACGAATAACGAAGAACCGACAAACAATAGGGAGAAAGTATAAGAGAATGAGGAAGATGGTGACTTCAAAAGCATTACAGGGGGTTAGTAGATGCAGATGGCTTGGGATCGTTCCATATGGCAGTCTATGGAGTAAATCTATGTTTAGCAATGGACATTTCAGGCCTGAAATGATAATGAAGATAATCAACTAAATTAATATTTTCAATTTATCAATTAACGATGTCCGTAATGTAGTGATGGGCATATTGCTTTGCGTAAATGAAGAAATCGAGCTTTCCTAATTTGACTCGTAATTTTTTTTAATGGATGATAATGGAATGGTAACCCCACCCACGCTATCGGTATACACCGGCGGGGCACCAGTGAAGGATAATAGGTGAGTATAAAGCAGATTAGTTAGCCCATCATGACGAATTCAACAAGAATTGTTCACGATGGTTTCCAGAGGGAACCACGTGAAGGTCGATCTAATAAGGCATATTGTTAGCAATGGGGCTGTCAAACTCCATTGCTAACAATCCCTTTCCCCCCATGACTCGTAAATTAGGTTGGCTTGAGTACTTTGGGTTTTATCAACAGGTGTTCGTTGCCTGGTCCCTCATTATTTTATACTATCGTTAATATTACATACTATATTCGCTGCATTATAACTCCTTACGTATTTACGTACATGTCACGTCTATCTCCCATTATTATTAGTGTTATAAAGGGTAAAGTGGATTTGCTACCTCTTAGCACCTTAATGTTTAATCAATCACTATAAAAATTTGTATATATGTATTACATGAAATGAAAAATAGTAAAAGATTTATTTATCCCGATCAGTGAATATATCCGGATCACGCGGACTAACTTGCGGGTAAAAACCAGTAATCACTTATAGACCCCTATTAGGTTATATTCGATTTAATTGGCTAAATTTCCAGGTTCCATCTTCGATCCGGGTTGCCTGTAAGAGATTGATTTTAACGATAAGACCACCTTTTGTATATGGGCATTCTGTATAAACGCTCCTTAGATATATCTTTTTTGTGCCCAATAAAAAAATAATTATTATTATAATTAAATTGGCTAAATAAGTATCGATTATGAATCGTATCGATTCAATCGCCCAATTGATAATTTAATTGTTTGGAGTGAATAATACCGATTAATTTATAATCGATTATTAAACAACTTTAAATCAGTAAGTCAGTAAGTAAGTCACTAAATGAATCGATATGATCTCCTTCCTAGTGAATAATATCGACTATTTTATAATCGATTATTTAACAACACTACATCAAGAAGGGATAGAGCACTAAATGAATCGATATGAGCTCCCAACACTAGTATCTAGTCACGTCTAGGTTCGTATTTACATATTTATAGACTTCTTCATAGCTACCCAGTTAATCAAAGTAATTAATACGGGATGCTGGTACTGTTTTACATAAGATCTCCATATTGGACCTGCAGCTCCGTTCTCATAAACACAAAAAGTTCAAATACCTTTGAAATTGAGTACAGTTGAGAGAATAATAGCATTAAATTTGCCTTTTGTACCAAACCTTTTTTTATAATGTTGATCAGTAAAGAATAATTAAAGATTGTGACCTCAAAAAAACTTTTTTTTTATACAACTTAGAATGGCAAACATGCTGAGGGCCCACCTGATGGACAGTGGTAACCATCGGCTATAAACATGAGCAGTACCATGGACATAACAGAGTATACTGTTTCGCCCATGATACCCCCCATGCGTTGCCATTCCTGAGGACTCAGGTGTCATTCCTCTGTACCCAGTAAATTCACGCCATATCCTGTAGAAGACAGCGAGTTGAGAATTTTACTGCGGTGTTCTAGATTTTGAAGTTTGAAATTTCTTTTCTAATCTACTGCCTAGTTCGCAATATGATTTCAATTCAGAAGAACAAGCCAGAACTCAATGAGGTCTAACTAAGGTTGTTATATATATCCTGTAACTTCAGTACCACATCCTAACCTTCAAAGTAGAACACAGCCATACAAGCAGAGCTGCGTCACGGCAAAACACGAGTGGGACAGAGATAGGCAGGGGACTTTTATACAAAGTTTCCCCCCTGGTATTTCAGAATGTTTTATATGATTAAACACAGGAACTTCTTACTTGATTGATGTTGGCTTCATAAAATTAATTCTGAGATAATTACATTATGGCGCGTGTGGTTTAATAGAAAAATCCAATCAGTGCTTTTATCAGAAGCCAATGCCGCTTCAGTTGTTCCAAGTTGTTTTTCGTTTCCGAGAAACTTTGTTACTTCGAAACTTTGAGAGTTCACTATTTCCTTTACAATAGAATAGAAAACATTTATTGCCAGTAAACACACAATTACAATATTTTTTTTCTATACAACTTAGAATGGCAAACAAGCTAACGGCCCACCTGATGGAAAGTGGTAACCGTCGCCTATAGATATGAGCAGTACCGTGGACATAACAGAGTATACTGTTTCGCCCACGATACCTTCCATGCGTTGCCATTCCTGAGGACTCAAATGTTATTCCTCTGTACCCAGTAAATTCACGCCATATCCCACCCTTGAAACCGAAACACAGCCATGCAAACACAACTGCTTCACGGTTGAAACACGAATGGGACAGAGGTTCACAAGCAATTGACTTTTGTATAAAGTCTCCCTCTGGTGAGTGAATGAGTGAATATAAAATATAGATAACATATACAAGAAGTGTCTCATACTAGGCAAAAAGGAGCCGGTTCAGCTGATGCTGTGAGTGCCCCAGCGCAATGTGAACAGCTGCACAGCGCTGGTTTTCAGCCAGTCCCTCTCTTAACAAAACATAAGCAAAGTGCAGGGTACCACTGTAAATCCAAAAAGGTCATCAATTGAACTATAGTTTGTGAAAAGACTATTTTTTTTTAATACTATATCAGTCTGCCAAGCGTGGCAACTACTGGCAAAACCCCCTAAGAGGGAGGCTTGTGTTCAGAAATGGACAGTTGAAGGCTGATGTGATGACGATGATGATTATATCAGGCATTAACTGTCTGACTGACACTCCTGAACATAGGCCTCTCCTTCGAGGTTTTACCGTACTGCTCATGTCTATAGGCTACGGTTACACCCGAGTCCTCAGGAATGGCAACGCATGGGGGGTATCATGGGCGAAACTGTATACTCTGTTATATCCATAGTACTTACTGCTCATGTCTATAGGCGACAGTTACCACTTTCCATCAGGTGGGCCGTCAGCTTGTTTGCCATTCTAAGTTGTATAAAAAAAATCAATTATGATATAAATTTGACAATTGAGTTTATTAAAAAATACACTAACAAGGAACAGGTATCCAATTTGATGGCTCTTCCTTTTAAAATAAACCAATTTTTAGAAACAAATTATGGGTAGGTATATCTCTTTAAAACACATATTAATTATCTTGTTACCAAAATGGCCGTCGCCATGTGTTGTGAAAATTATATTACCATAGCCTTGGCACTCTGCGGAAACCATTGTGTGACGTCACGAAGGACAAAGTACGTCACGTGTTGTAAATTAACATGCATTATGTATCGAACCCAATACCGGTAATTACGGAAGATAATCACATTATCGAGTACTCCGATGCAGGGTAAAATCATAAACCGCAATATAAACAAAGATATTTACATCCTGTGGTCCCGGCGTAGAATGGGCCACCCCTTTCCCGTGAGTGTCGTAAAAGGCGACTAAGGGAACTTAACATTTCTTTGCATGATTTTTTTTTATTAGTGAAATAAATGAAGATAATATAATTCATGTTTAAAATTAAAGGAAAAATGGTTAAAAAAATAAATTTGACAGCTATGTTTTTTTTTCTGAATTGGACATTAAAAAAGTATTCAGACACGAACAACTTAAAGTGAACTTGTTCTTTTATATAATTTTTGGGCATTCAATGTTATGATGGAAATTTCCACCATTATACAAAGAAGGGTTAATAGTCGAAAGATGGACGACAGCTATTGCTAGCTCGCTTTCCCAGCGTAGAAGCTACTGGCAACCCCCCCCCCCCCCAATCTATGTCCAGCAGTGGACAGTAAACGGCTGATATAATGATGATGATAAAATATATATTTTAATTTGTTTCTAATTTAATTTAGACAGTGTTTTCATGGAAATTTAAACAAAACTGACTATGATATTCATTATGATATATTTTTTTTATGCAACTTAGAATGGCAAACAATCTGACGGCCCACCTGATGAAGAGTGGTAACCGTCGCCTATAGACATGAGCGGTACCATGGACATAACAGAGTATACTGTTTCGCCCATGATACCCCCCATGCGTTGCCATTCCTGAGAACTCAAGTGTTATTCCTCTGTACCCAGTAAATTCACGCCATATCCCACCCTTCAAACCTGAAACACAGCCATGCAAACATAACTGCTT